CTATCCCAGTATCATCTTTGTCATTTTCTTCCCTGATTCTTGGAAGTGTACACAAGATTAGTAACATTGCGTTATTGGTTGTTCGTAGTACAGTTGTTTCTTTTATCCTAGTCACGTTGGACGATCACTCAAGATTTACGTTTAAATCGTATCCTCTGAATAAATTGATTTAAATTTTTTGATTTGCATTGTTTGAGGTATTTGTTTTTTTGTTATAGTGTATAGGAATTGTTAATACCTAGTGATTATGTTTCTGATATTTTTCAAAAACGGGAAAGCTTAACAAGGTAATGATGTCAATGTCTACATCAAAGGCATCTGCACCAAGTGATATTTTACTCGTTTTGGTCACATTTCTATTGGGTATGTTGGCGTGCGTACTAAAATGTTAACAATTCCAGTTATTTTTTGCTTCTTTGGTTTATTCACTCAAACTCATGTAATGTACTCCTTCCGTCAAGTTTCAAAACTCTTTTTCTTTTTTCTTAAATTTCGTGCCGAGTTAAACTATCTCGTCTAAATTAAAATGGAGGGAGTGTCTCACTTGCGATAACAAGTAAAATCAATTTTCTTCTTCTTTCACGTAGTCTCTTACATCTCAAACTCTCTGTGCACCTTCGATCAATAACGACAACAACAATAACTCAATATAATCCCACTAGTGGAGTTTGGGGAGGGTAGTGTGTACGCAGACTTTACCCCTACCCTAGGATAGAGAGGCTGTTTCCGATAGACCATCGGCTCCCTCCATCCAAGAACTCCCCACATTGCTCTTGGGGTGACTCGAACTCACAACCTCTTGGTTGAAAGTGAAGGCTGCTTACTACTAGAGCAACCCATTCTTCTCTTCGTGCACCTCCGATCCAGTAATAAAAATAAAAGACGAAAAGGTGCAAGAATCAAGAAAGCCATAAGAATAGATGTACAGTATATAAAATAGTATGATTGAAAAATGGACCTAATACACAAGCAAGCATGTTCAGCCTGAAATACTGAATTCTCGTTTAGTGATTGGTCATATATATGCTAATTCAGGAAAAATGTTCATCAAAACGGTATAGCAATATGATGCATTAAACACGTTATCAAAAAAGTTTCCAAGGAGATGTTTCATCTTAGTGGAGGGCTCTCTTTTTCTTCTATGGAGTTCTTGGCTAATTTATTGAAAATTAAAGGAAATAACCAACATTCAAGTCTTAATTTTACTGTTTTTTTATTCACCCTTATTTTTTAGATATAAATGTGATATGTATAAATGTAATGGTGGGGAAAAAAACTTTTGAAAAGGGAAAAGATGACTTTTGGGATGACAAAAAAGTGATGGAGAAGTTCTCGGAGATGGAAAAGATTCTTGAACAGAGTGAACAATAAAAATTAAATTTAGGAAAGAGAAAAATGTGATAGAAATATGATGAGAGAGATTCTTGAACGGAATTTAAAAAAAAAAGAGTTAAAAAGACAAAAAGGTACATGTCATGCTTCGAAATAAATTCAGAAAGGCCAAATACCTAAACCTAGATAGACCTTTAAACTTGACATATTTTGTAAGTTAGACATTCAAATTAGCAAATGACTTTGAAATACATAATTTTTGAAGTTAAGTTGAAAAAATATATTTGAAAATTGAAATTTTATTTGAATATGCATTTCATTTAAAAAAAAATATTGTTATTTTGTGAAAGATAATATTGTTCACTTGAAAAAGTGGTTAAAACTACTTTTTCAAACTTGAAACTCATCTTCAAAAATTCAGTTTAATGTATTAACTAAAAAATATTTGAAGATGACTTTAGAAAAAATGAAAAATTCTTATGGACAAACGGATTCTTATTTTTTCGAAAACCAAACTAAAAGTCATATATCACCTGGATATTTAGTGAGAATACAAGATGGTGTGTGGCCCGTTTTTGCACGCGCCCAACATTTACATTTTTCGGCGTTTAATTTTTTGGTGTATTGGATATGATAAAGCATATCAGTACTACGACTGCAGGAAATACATTTGAATCAATAGACACAAAATCTTGCATTTTTAAGTTCGGTATTACAAATGATTTTATCCATTATCAGCTAGAATATCTACCTACGTGCTAGATTTACAATTAGACACAGAAAAAAATAAAGGAAATGTACACAGCACTTTGTCATTAATAAAGTCTCGACAAAATGATGATATGCATGCATAGCTAAATTCATGATTCAACACGCCGTTCCTGCCCACCACAGTCAATTGCTATATAAAAAGGCAAAAGAGATCGTTTCAGTAAATTGTTACTTACTAACAACAACAAATATTCACCTTAGAGATATAAAAAATTTAGGTTGAAATGTATCCAACTACAAATTCAGCAAAAAGCACAAAAAGATAGGAATACACTAAACAAATAATAATAATATTGAGTTTGTTATACAAGTAGATGAGTTTGAATCTCAATTTGTGTTGGTGTAGTCAAATTATGATTTAGCACAAAAAGCATTATCGGGTGTGAGACTCTTTGTTCACATAAACAGGTCCTGTCCATAAGACATAGCCTTGTCTAAGGACAACATACCAAAGTATATTAGCTTTCCTATAACGGCTCTTTTCCTTCATTCGCCAAGTACAATTTAGTTTCCCTTTTTACTGTAGAATGCTAGCAATATACATCACTTAAACGGTCCAATACATGCCAATAATGAGTCCATTTCTCAGAAGTTCATTAAACTAATAAAAATTATTTATAAAAGTCACTTTACTTTATTTTGTAACCGAAAAATCATCATACTTTGCACATTGTAACTCAAAAGTCACTCAACACAATTAAGCCATATTAAATACTATTATTTTTCATATTTTTTTTAATTCAATCATTTAGACAATAAAAACACACACATTTAAACCGTGACTCAACCCGCTCTTTGACCCGACCCACTTTCTCTAATTTTTATTACAAAAAACGTAAATATTACTTTGCTGTTAATTATCTTGGTTTTCAACATACTGGTTTAAGCAAAGTATTAAATCAGTTCGACTAGAAATGATTGTCTAGTAACATTATCTTTACTATAAGCAATGCGTGTTCTTGTTCTAAAACATCGAGGATATTATCTTTTAATTTACTCTTATATTAATATTTCTTAGTCAAATTTTCAAGCATAAATACTTTTTTTATTTTTCCTTCCTCCTTTATATTTTCTTCCACTTCAACGCTACTAATTTTCTTGTTTCACTTTCAAATTTAACTCCTCTAGTTTGTTAAGATTAATTTCTTATTCTCTATTTAATACTTTGCTTAAACCAATGCATACATTCAGTATAACTATATTGAGAACCAATATAATACACTACAACAAAGTAAAATTTACGTTTTTTATAACAGAAATAAGAGAAAATGGGTCGGGTCATGGAACGGTCGAGTCATGATTTAAATAGATTTTTTGATTTTTTTAAATGGTTGGGCTGAAAAGAAATATGAAAAATAATGTTTAATAAAGCCCTAAAAATGCTGAGTGACTTTTGAGTTACAATGTGCAAAGTATAACGACTTTCCAGTTACAAAGCAAAGTAAAGTGACTTTTACAGACAATTTCTATTAGTTCAGTGACCATACGAGAAATGGACTCTACGAATAATAGCAGAACAAAACAGTCTAGCACTTTTGAAAAGCTAACCAAAGTCTATTTTCTATTTATATCCCTCTAATGTGACTTACTGCATTTAATCATCTGTATAGATAAAATACAACAACAATAACGACCTAGTGAAATTCCACTACTGAGGTCTGGAGATGGTAGTGTGTACGCAGACCTTATTCCTATCCCGAGGGAGTAGAGAGGCTGTTTTCGAAAGACCCTCGGCTCAAGAAAATGACCCTCTGTGTAGATAAAATGTTTATCCAAAAAAATGCATATACATGAATGTCAAGATTCATAAATGACATGCTTTTAATTAATGGCTTTCAGTTTTAAAACCAAAATTTTTCATCATCCATCAATTCACAAACTCAAAGATTCATTTTTCTAGCACTTCACTTTACGAGGTTTCATAAAAAGAAACAAAATACTATTGCAATAAATTTGACACCTTCTGGTAAGTCAAATGCTTGATCTAGACAGTAAGACGTAAGTTTCAGCAAATAGAACCAGGTACCGCAGAATAAGAAAAAATCTCTATCAGATAATCAGCCAATGCATGTCAAGTACTTCGACCTCATATTAACAACAGAGCTTTCAATGGCCACATCATTGCTGAAGCCTAATTGATATTGCCTTAAAAAGAGGTCAAGACCAATTTTTTGTGGGTATAAGTGATGTCAAGACCACAATCACACCTAACCACAATCAGTTTCATCAGGTTAGTTAAATACATAAATTTGCCTATTTGTACGAGGAACTCAATAAAAATCTACCTTCATTGAACTAAAAGAAAATGAAGTAAAGAGTGAAAGAGTAACAGATGAGAAAAAATTATCAGATTTAAGAGAAAATAAATATAAATGTCTGGACTAAGATTATTTCTTATCCAAGTTACTCATATAGAATACATGTTTACATGGAAACTCATTCAAAATTCACCTCCTGCCTTCAAGAAAACGAAGTGAAGAAAGTAACAGAGGAGGAAAGAAATCATCAAGAAACTTATTGAAGCAACAAATGCAACATAGTAAATTAACTATCACTCTTCAACTTCAAAGGTTAGGGGTCGTCTGTCACGACCCAAAATCTCAGTTGTCGTGATGACGCCTATCTCAATACTAGGCAAGCCGACAATCTCAATAAATCATCGTATCTTTTAAGTTTGAAAATATAATATTTAAATTCAGCGGAAGAAATCTCATAATTTCATATATAAACACTCCCAAAACCCGGTGTCACTGAGTACATGAACATCTAATATGAATACAAAGTCTGATTGACAAAACACTGTCTGAAAGTATAGAACAGTACAATAACTGAAAGAAAGGGAGTCAAGGTCAGCGGACCCCAAACAACTACCTTGATAGTCTCCAACTGATAGCACTCTGAGATCTAACGGCCGCCGTATCCGAAAGCACCTGGATCTGCACACGAGGTGCAGAGTGTAGTATGAGTACAACCAACTCAATAAGTAACAAGACTAACCTTTGGACTGAAAGTATTGACGAGCTCCGCAGGTACAGTCCAGTATAAATAATAACAATACAGAAATGTAGGCATGCTTTCAAGTTCAGTAGTTGCTTTCAGTACAAATAAAACAGATCAATTCTGAACAATACGAGGAATATGCCATTTCTGTATCTATATGCCAATGTACATACTGTATATGATGCACCTTAGTGAAAACTCTGTGTACTCACAGTCTAAAATACTCAATCACTCAGTACTGTATATGGCCAATCCAGCCCAGGGAAGATTCATCCCAAATATATATATGTATATCCATCAACTGACAGTCAGTCACTCAGTACTGTATAAGGCCAATCCAGCCTAGGGGAAAATCCATCCCCAAATATCAATGATTCGGACAAGATATGGTCCAGGAAAAATCGATCCTTAAATATAAATGTTTCGGGCAAGATCCATGCCCAGGGAAGATCCATCCCTCAATATAAATGCTTCGGGCAAGATCCATGCCCAGGGAAGATTCATCCCTCAATATAAATGCTTCGTGCAAGATCCATGTCCAGGAAAGATTCATCCCTCAATATATATCAACCGCGCTCACTAGGTGTATGTGCAGACTTCGGAGGGACTCCTTCAGCCCAAGCGCTATAAATCAACCGCGCTTACTGGGGGTGTGTGCAGACTCTGGAGGGACTCCTTCATCCCAAGCGCTATATAAAGCCGATATGGCCTACTGCGACGTGCAGTCCGATCCCATAATAATAGTGAAGCCTATAAGGTCTGCTGCAAGCGGGCAACCCCGATCCATATAGTAATAAAGCTTATAAGGCCTGCTGCGGCGTGCAGCCCGATCCTATAATAATAATAATAATATATATAAAGCCGATATGGCCTGCTGCAGGCGGGCAGCCCCGATTCAATAAATATCCTCACAATGGATGAGCATGATTGAGTATGAAATTTACATTTTAAAATAATTAATTCAACAGCAACACGATCCTATGGGTCCCAAAATATCGGCACATAGCCTAAACATGATCTTTATTACTAGCCTCAGCTCAATTCCTCTAACACGTGTGGCATGTTCAGATAATAACATGATTCTTTAACTTTGCAACTTCACAGGATTTATTCAAGTCAATTTACATGGTGCACGTCCACACGCTCGCCAACTATCGTGTGTGTCACCTCCAAACAATTTATATAACACCAATTCGGGGATTCATACCCTCAGAACCAATTTTAGAAGTGTTACTTACCTCAACTCGTGTAATTTCTCACTTTGTTATGCCCTTGCCTCGAGAATTGGTCTCTGAAAGCCTCGTATCTAGTCACAAATAATTCGATTCAGTCAATAAAAATTACTGGAATTAATTTCATAAGAAAATACAAATTTTCAATCAAAATCCGAAACTTAGCTAAAAAATCACTCGTGGGGCCCACGTCTCGGAACCCGACAAAAGTTACAAAATCCAAAAGTCCATTTAACTACGAGTCTAACCATACCAGTTTTACCAAAATCCGACCTCAACTCGACCCTCAAATCTTCAAGTTAAACCAAGAGGGTTTTCTAAAATTTTCAACTCAATTCACTAATTTAGTGATAAAAACAACAATAGATTCATGTAATTTAACCAAAATAAGGTTAGGAATTCTTACCCCAATATTTTTCTTGAAAAACTCTCGAAAAATCACGTCACCCGAGCTTCCTTGGTCCAAAAATGGAAGAATGAGACGAATTTGGACTTTATTCTGCTGCCCAGGGGTTTGTTCTTCGTGTTCGCGACCCTCCCCTCGCGTTCGCGATGAACAAAATCTCTAACAACCATTTTCAAGCCCTTTTAAGACAGCCTCTAGTATAATGGTCATAAGATTTTGTACAAAACTCCAAATGTTTAATGGTGTAACTTTCTGAAAACTAGACACCAAGGGTTATAACTTTTATTTGTTTCTCATCTCCCAATTCCTTATATATTGCGAGATATACGATTCCAAATTCAGCCCTGTGCAACAGAGATTTTCAAACTCTTCCCAGACAGTCTGTAGTGTATCTATTATAACCTTTTGTACACAACTCTAAATGACAAATGGTTTACTTTTCTGAAAACTAGATACAAAGGACTACAACTTTTATTTTTAGATCAGCACCAAATTCCTTACAGATTGCGAGATATGAGCCTCCAAAGTCAGACAACGGATAACAAAAAATTCCTTCTTCGCGAACGCGAAAAACAAAGTCCCAACAGCAAAATCCTTCCTCGCGAACGCGAGAGGCTCCTCGCGAACGCAAAGAACAATACCAGAACCAGCAACCAGCAGCATCAAAATACCCAAACTTGATCCGGAACCACCCCGAATCAAACCCGAGGCCCTCGAGACCCTGTTCAATCGTACCAACCAGTCCCAATACATAACACGAACCTGCTCGAGGACTCAAATCACATCAAACAACACTAAAAATACGAATCACGCATAGATTCAAGCCTAATGAACTTTGAAACTTTCAATTTTTACAAACGATGCCGGAACCTATCAAATCACGTCCGATTGACCTCAAACTTTTCACACAAGTCATAAATGACATAACAGACCTATTCAAATTTTCAGAATCAGATTTCGACCCTGATATCAAAAAGTCAACCCCCCGGTCAAACTTCCCAAAAATTTAACTTTCGCCATTTCAAGCCTAATTCCTCTACGGACCTCCAAATAATTTTTCGGGCGCGCTCCTAAGTCCAAAATTACCATACGGAGCTATTGGAATCATCAGGATTCAAATTCGAGGTCGTTTACACATAAGTCAACATCCGATTAACTTTTCCAACTTAAGTTTTCAATTATGAGACTAAGTGTCTCATTTCACCCCGAAATCCTTCCGGATCCGAACCAACTAACCCGGTAAGTCATAAAACAACTGTAAAGCATAAAGTGAATAGTAAATAAGGGAACAGGGTTATAATACTCAAAACGACCGGTCGGATCGTTACATCGTCCGCATCCTTTTGTCTACTTTATGCTTTTTAAGAAATAAGAAAGAGTAATAGTGGAAAACAATGGAGAGTAATCTTAATATGATATAAAGAAATTTCACACAGCTCTTGAGCAATCTCCTCAAAAGTTGATTCTTCAAAAGCAAAACATTTAGAAAAGAGGACAGCTAATACTTATTTCTTTTAGGATAGAAGGAGTTTCCAACAAACCAATGTGGGGCATCCAAATACTAAGCATCAAGAAAAATTTACTGCCGCAGAACAAGAAGCACAAAGCCTGCATAGATAAATTGTTGTCTCCTACGTAAAAATTAATAACTAATGGCCATGTCATTTTAAACATTTGACACCACATGTTACTTTGATTATATTAAACTACAGGTATGACAAATGCAAAATAGACACCTCCCAAATTTCATAATGTTTGTTTGAAAGTCTTAATCGGACATATAAGTTCATATTTGGTTATAACTCTCTACATAGCAATTAACTGTGCTGAGTTTGTAGATTATCTCTAACATTTGTATAGTGTCCTAAAAGAGAATCGTACTTTCCCTATCTTGATGCTCTTTCGTTATCACTTTATCAGAAATACAGCATATATTTTTGGAATGTTAGATAAAACCGACAAATTAGAATAGCTAACGTCCTGTACCAAAAACTAAATGCAATGAAATCTTAGTGTGCTTTGTAATACTATAAATATTTAATGGTAAAGTAGCTAGGCATGCAGCATAACAAGACGACAATAGAAGCTTGAAAGCTGTTAGAAGTAAACTAATAATCATCTCAGTGCTCTATTGAAAATGTATAGCACAGCGTATCAGAGAGCCACAGGACATGAATTCAAATCCATGCTCAATTCTACCCACATGTACAAAGCTTCAAAGAACAACAAATACCACGAATGCTAAGAAAAAAATATAAACCTCAAGCAGCAAGAAATAAATTTGACTTTTTTTGTTCAAACAGAAGAACACAAATACACTTGATTTGCATATTATTTGGGTCAATAACTGTCCCCCAAAAGAAAGAAAGAAAAAGGAAACATTAAACATATCAGCTGATCAGCGTTTTTGTTTTCATTTCAATGTAGTCATTTCTAAACCCATTTTGAACATAGAATAAACATTGTCCGTCTTCGTCTCTTAATTTTCTAATATTGTACTTCTCAGCTCTCACCTAAATTTTCTTCTTTTTTTCTATTTGATCATTAAAATGTCTTCTTTTTTCATCTCTTAATTATCTAATACTGCTCTTCTCACCTAAATTCTCTTCTTTTTTCTTTTTGATATCTTTTTTTTTTTCAGTATTCTATCTCAAAGTTTTTTCAATCAAGTAAAAGATAAATAAGTAAATAAATTTCTTCCTAAAAAAATGTGAAGACAATAAACTTATCAAATTAACCTCCGAAATTTTTAAATAAAATAGTTGCGACTAAGTTACCCATTGCTATAATTTTAAAGAGTTACACTTCCCAAAATATCAACCCAGTCATGTTACACCCAATTTTGAATTACGTGTGATGCAACTCAAAATCCATTTCATTTCTTACACATTTGGTCTTATCCCACTTATCCGATTTTTCTTTAATTGTAGTCATCAATAATAAATTCCCAAAAGCTAAAAATTCCTCAAAAAGAGCAATCTCATTGCTCACCAAAGCAACCCCAACAATTCCTTGGGTTTGTTTAAAGCAACATAATAAGCAAATCAGTAATAACGAACCTGAGCAAACACACACAATTTCCTGAAGAAAGTTAAATAAAGCTTTTCCTTTGAGCTCATAAACGTCTTTTTTGTATCTGAGTAGACACAACAACATTACGATTAGCCTTGCTCATCTTCCAAGGAAAGCTCCAACATAAGGTGATTGCCTTTCTGCTATCTACAGTTATAATATAATAGATTGAGGCCCTGCAACAAAGTTACATATTCTATAAATAAATTCAAAAAATGAGGGGTACTAATTGGCCATATAAATACCAAGAAAATTGCCAATTAGCCATTAGAACCATCACTTAACAAACATTTTAGCCTTTAATGCCAAAAATATCGAATTTAACTCTCCGGTAAGACCGGTGTCATGACCCAAAAATCACACATGTCGTGATGACGCCTATCCCGATACTAGGCAAGCCGACAATATCAATAACCCATAACTTCTTTTAAATATTGGAAACATAATAATTAATTTAAGGGGAAAACTCCCACCAATATTGAATATAAATTTATTCTCAAAATCCGGTGTCACTGAGTATATGAGCATCTATACGTTACAAGTCTAGAAAATACGGTTTATAATAGTCTGAGACCAAATACAGTAAACAAGGAGATAGGGAATGAGAGACAAGGTGTGCGAAATACCCGCGGTGTCCGGGATCACCTGGATCTGCACACGAAGTGCAGGGTATAATATGAGTACAATCAACTCAGTAAGTAACAATAATAAATAAAGAACTGAAAGTAATGACGAGCTTCACAGCTAATTCCAATTACAGTAATTTCCAACATATCAAGGTAGGCATGCTTTCAAGTTCAACATTTAAAACTCCACAGTAATTTCATTTCAAATTTGACTGAAACATAAATAATGTCTTTCAGAATTTTTCCAAAATAGTGATAATGACAGCTGAAATGCAGCAATAATGGAATCAATGCATCCTCTCAGAGTAACAGCCACTCAGTCCTCCCATTCACTCCAACCTCATATTTACTCTTTCTTCACAGTCACTCAGCACTCGGCACTCGCACTCGTACACAGTAGGTACCTGCACTCACTGGGGGTGTGTACAGACTCCGGAGGGGCTCTTTCAGCCCAAGCGCTATATCAAGCCAATCATGGCATATAACAATGAAACATGTTGCGGCGTGCAGCCCGATCCCATAAATATTCTCACAATTAGGCCCTCGGACTCACTCAATCATCAACCTCTCCAGTCTCTCGGGATCAAGGTGTCATGAAAATCAGGCCAAAATGATAATATGATGCATCAATAAATAGCAACAGAGATTAAGATATGATATGAAATGAATGAACATGACTGAGTATGAAATTACAATTTGAACATATAATTCAACAATAGAAATGACCCCAGTGGATACCAATAATAACAACATATGTCTAAGCATGATTTTTAATACGAGTCTCAGCTCAATTTTCTCTAACACGTAGAGAATGTACTGATATCAACAAATTATTTAACTACACAGTTCCATGGAATTTGACCAAGTCACGATTCCTACGGTGCACGCCCACACGTCCGTCACCTAGAATGTGCATCACCTCATAACCAATCACATAACACATAATCTGTGGTTTCATACCCTCAGGACCAAATTTAGAATTGTTACTTACCTCAAACCGTAAAATTCTTTATTCCGCTATGCCCTTGCCACGATATTTGGTTTCCGAAAGCCTCGTATCTAGCCACAATTAATTCGATTCAGTCAATATCAATTATTCTAATTAATTCCATAAGGAAATACAAATTTTTCAATAAAATCCGAAATTTAACTCAAAAATTGCCCGTGGGCCCCACATCTCGGAACCCAACAAAAGTTATAAAATATGAACGCACATCCAACCACGAGTCCAGCCATACAAATTTTATAAAATTCCGACATCAACTCGACCCTCAAATCTTCAATTAAAGTCTTTGAAGATTTCTATCATTTTCAACCCAATCTTTACCCGTTTGAACTCAACAATCTTTCCACAACCTTATTCGTACATATATGTATAAATGATACTCTTACACCCAAGAATCATACTCTTAATCTCCCGTCTTTTACCCCAAAAATCGAAATTGAAGAATTGGGGGAAAGAAATTCTTACCTCTTTAAAGCCCTAACAAGATCCTTGTGAAATCTTCAAGCCTTGAACAATAATTGATGAACAATTGACTAAGTCTTCACTTTTTCTCTCTAAGATGCTCTCACCACTCTCTAAAATATCAGATGAAACCCTTCAAAATGACCCCCCAATAGTGTTTTATAAGAATGGGTTCGGGTTTATAAAATCAGAAAAGTAAAGCTCCGAAAATCACTCTGCGGTCGCATATGCGATCACAGAATTGATATGCAGTCGGCATATAGACCACAGAAATTGGTTCCCAAAAACATGAAGTTGCCTGCCTGGGTTTGCGGTCATTATGCGGCCCGCAGACCTGTTCTGCGGTCACATAATGAACCGCATAATAGTTCTGCGGTCGCATAGTCGACCGTAGAATGACATCCAAAGCTGCCCCTTTCCTGCCTCACTCTGCGGCCATTATGCAGTCCGCAGAGTGATTATGCGATGCATAATGGACCGCAGAAATGCATTTCTCTGCCAAAATCTTTTCTTTACCTCTCAGTGCATTGTTCAACTCAAAAAGTCCGAGCACGTACTAATTAATCTTCCTCGGTACCACAAAACCTTAATTTTCAAGCAAAATTTCTCTGGGGTCGTTACACATAAGTCAACATTCGGTCACCCTTTTTAACTTAAGTTCTAAACCTTGGAAACAAGTGTTCCAAATAATTTCAAACCTCACCGGACCCAAACCAATTACCCTCGGCGCATCAAATAACAACCGAAAAGCACAATTTGAGTAGTAAATTGGGAGACAGGGTTGTAATACTCGAAACGACTGGCCGGGTCATTACAACCAGATTATAGTTTTTCACGGCATATTGTCAAACACCATGGCTACAACAATGCTCTTGTATGTTTTATGTCATTTTCGTTCCAAACATGTATGTCAAAAGCAGATGTACATAGTGGAAAAATATTCCAAAAGAATAGTACATAAGAGAGAGTCACCAAATACCCATTACCTACAAAGAGGTGCAACAGACAACAAACGGGTACAACAGGCAAAGCAAGCGAGTGTGAAAAACACTTCAGCAGAACTCGAAAATGTAGCATAGACCAAGTGAAAATTGGAAGAAGAAAGGAGAAATTGGAATGCAGTTCCAAATTTTATTAGTATGGTCTAAGAGGGAAAAAAACAATTTATGAAAGAAATAATTGAGAAAGACAAGACAAAGGAGCAAAATAAACAAATAGGCAAACAAGCAAATAAGGATTCTTACGGCTGAAGAAGAAAGAAAATGTCAAGAAGTGAAGAGCAGGAACTAGAAGCCATGGTTGTTGTCGCTGACTGAGGTATTTTTTGTGGCAAATCGAGCAAAAAAAGTAAATAAATTATGACTGAGATAGAAAGGTAATTTTGCCCTTGGTTGATGATTTTTCACACTTCTATATAATAGAAAAAGAGAAGCCAGCGTAACAACAAAAAGCCTAAAACGAAAGTGTCAAAATATTTCTAGTGTCAAAATCAAGTTATGGTTCTTGAGGCAATAGGAGGAAGCAACAATGTGTCAACAAAATAAATATATTGAATAATCAATTTATACTCGTTTTGTCATTCTGGTGTATCAAACTAATCAAAACAATATAACTAATTAATCAAATAAATCAGTTACAAAATGTATAGGCCAAATACCTAGACGGCCCCTTAAACTTGGCTCCAATTTTCATTTTAGCACTTAAACTCAGCCTTGTCCCTATTAAACACTCTAACTCAAATAAAAGTGTACCTATTAAATACCTCGTGACTAACTAGTAAAAATGGGATAATGCGTGCACTTTAGACGCGGTGACATAGCAAAATTAACGAATGACACACAACCATATGGCTATTGAGTCCAACTAACCAAAAAAGAAGAGAAAGAATAGAAACCCCCCACCCACCCTAGCGGGTCATCTTCTCACCAACCGTCCCCTTTCTCTGCACCCATCATCATCTTCTCCCCCCCCCCCCCCTTCATACACACACACTATCACCAAAAGAAATATCATCTCAAATACTTCACAGTCTACTTCACCTATTATCCCACAGTTTTTAAAATTCTTCTGCAATCTATCTTAAATGTCTACCCAATTTCATAGCCAGCAAGAATAATTTAAAAATCCACAACCTGCTATCCACCACTGTGACACCACAACAAGTTGATTAACGTTTGACTGCTTCCAAGTTTTGTTTCGATTTCGTCGGGCACATGTTGTGATTCACGAAATTAAGCTTGAGCACTTTTGAAATTGTTTAATTTTGAGTTGAATCATCCATTTTGATTTTTAAGTAGGCGGAATTATGATGGGTTTCTCTCTTTGCTCTTTATTATTGTGGTAGTTTTGCCTCTGATTTCTGGGATAAAGCAGGCAACTTTGAAAATTTTCAGATTCTAGCATTTTAAGCTTGGAAATCTTATATTTGAACCATTGTGGGAAATGGTAGATAGGTGGTGAGGACGAAGATGGTGGATTTTATTTAATCGGATCTCACATAGTTGTAGGCTTGTAGCTGATCTTTGGGAAAAGATGGTGAATAGTGGCGGTAGTGTATGAAGAGTGGCGGTGATCGGGTGGTTACACGGTGGATATGGTGTTTCTTCCTTTGCTTCTCCAACATGGGTGGCCGTTATATGTGTGGGGAAAAGAAATGTTCTGAAACTAAAAAAGGAAAAGAAATGATCATTTCACGCGCCTAACTTAGGTGCAGTTTACACAAATATGCCATGTCATCATCTGTGTTTAATAGGTACACCTTTATTTGAGTTAGAGTGTTTAATAGGGACTAGGCTGAGTTTAAGTGCTAAAATGAAAACTGGAGCCAAGTTTAAGGAGCCGTCTAGGTATTTGGCCAAATGTATATCAATTAATCAAGATGCGATTTTCTCCTAAAAATACTCAATTCTTGTTGTCCTTTTTAAGATACTCCACAGGCATTGCTTAATCTTCTCCCTGAAAGCTTCACTGGACCAATTACTCAAGTTCGATTGCAAAAGTAATTTAAAGAGTTCCAAGACAAAACAATCCTCATAAATTTAGTACCAGTTCTGCAATTAAATTTAAGCGCGGAAGGTTTTCAACACACTGTAGTGACTTTATTGCTCTCTTTTTTCCACTTCCTCTTTTGATAAGTTATGTGTCTTGTTATGTTTTGACGATCTAATAAACTTAATGATAAGAATCAGATCGAAAATCGTTATACATCCTCAAGGTGCCAAAACACAACAACAATCAAATCGGGCACAAGCTCCAATAGCTAGAGTCAAAGGGACGACAGAGGGAATAGACGGTCATTAGTTCCCCTGCTGACTATACCAGTCAACTGCTCACAACTGTAAAGTCACTGCAACTATTTCTCTGCACACATGCAACAGTGTGAACAATGCAGCAATCACTTTATGGGGAATGCCTTGTACCGGATATTTGCTTGCATCATCCAAGTGACATCACTTGGATATTATTAACATGAAGTAATGAAGAAAACACACACTTGCACATCCGAGAATTAATCAAGTTTCCTCTCAAGTGTGTTTCCATCTTGCAAGTGACTTCCAGGCCTCAAGAACAAATAACAACATAACGAATGACCAATTTCCAGCATTGTGTCATTATATGTCCTTTGTTGTGTTGCACCTTTGTTAGAGTGATTTACTTGTAATTCCTACTTAGCTTAGCTAGAAGCATTGTGCAGGAAACCATTTGTAAAACCATAAATATTATTTTTGTGTCTTGGCTAGAGTTAGTCGAGTTGTGTGCTTTGTAATAGAGTTATTACAAGTGAGTGAGGGACTAACATTTTAATTCCTAGGTTACAATATGTTGTAATCTAAAAGTTGCTCGGTTAGTGAAGTTGAAATCCTACGAGTGTAGGTCGTGGTTTTTAATTTCGTGAGTTGGGAGTTTTTCACGTAAAACTCTGATGTGTCATTTACTTATCTCTTATTGTGTGTATTCTGTGGGAACTAATAGAGAATCAGGTTCTCTATATAGTTAGGTGGATCCTAAGTTTCTATCAATTGGTATCAGAAGAGGTTCTTTCTATCAGGCTAACAACTAGAAAGGATCCAAATTGTTGCTCCATCAAACTTTGAGGAAGGTCAATCAACCTACAGACCACTAAGATTCAATGGACAGTCCTATGGATGGTGGAAGACAAGGATGCATGATTTCATCATGGCTGAAGATTCAGAGCTCTGGGATGTTATCTGCGATGGACCTTCGTCCCTATAGACCATTGGCGAACCAGCAGTGACAGTTCCCAAGACAAGGAAGGAGTACAACGATGCTGACCGCAAAGCTATATAGAAGAACTTCCGAGAAAAAAAGATCCTCATCTGTGGTATTGGTCCAGACGAATACAACAAGATTTCTGCCTGTCAATAAGCCAAGGAGATCTAGGAAGCTTTCCAAATAACACATGAAGGAACAACTCAAGTCAAGCAGTCGAAGATCGACATGCTCACCACTGAGTATGAACTTTTCAGGATGAAGGATGATGAATCCATTCAGGACATGCACACTCAATTCACCTCTATCATTAACGAGCTCCACTTTCTAGGAGAGATCAATCCAAGGAAAAAACTTGTTAGGAAAATACTCACTGTATTACCTAGTTCTCGGGAAACTAAAGTAAATGCTATCATGGAGGCAAAGGATCTGCAAAAGCTGACCATTCATGAACTCATTAGAAATTTGAATACCTACGAAATGAAGAAGAAGAAGGACCATGAAAGAAGAGATCCCAAAAAGGAGAAGAACCTGGTCCTCAAGATAGACAATAATGATTCTAGTGGTAAGGATGCTGACATGGCCTACCTAACGAAGCGATTTCAGAAAATGGTTCGTAGGAATGGAGGCATTCCAAAAAGGGGCAGCTCCAGCAAGCCAAGAGGTTATGACTTGTGTCATAAATTTAGTAAGCCAGGACGCTTCATCAAAGACTATCCTCTCCTCAAGAAAGAATTGTACAAGCACTATACAAACAAAGCAGTCAAGAGGAACTCGGTTCTTGACAAAAGATTCAAGAGAAAAGAAGCCGCTGACAATGTTGTGAAACAAGCTCTTGCTGCATGGGGAGATTCTTCCAGCGAATCTGGAGACGATGATGCACAAGGTGATACCTCCATGATGGCAGTTGAAAGTGAAGCAGCTGAATATGACTCAATATTTGCTTTGATGGAAAATCTGACGATGATGAAGATGATGATGATGAGGTAAACTTTCTAGACGTTCAAAGAAATTTGAAGTATTACTCTAAAAAAAAGCTTATATCTTTGGCAAAGTTTTTAATTGATGTTTATCACAGTATTATAAATGATAAAAATGCATTAACTGTGGAACTAGGAGATGTAGAAAATGAGAGAGATGATCTGGTAGTCGTAAAAGAAACCATCGAGGTTCTAAAGAAACAAACGGATGTTCTAACTAAAAAAATTGGAAACGTAGAAAATGAGAGAGATGACATGTTGGTAATTGTTATGGACCTAAAAGAAACAATAGAGGAACTAAAAAGGGGAAACAGTTCAGGGATTATCCAAAAGTAAAAGGAAGTTGCAAGTGAGGCACACATTAAGCTTGAAAATGAACTCAAATCTGTGAAATCTAGTATACGTGCTGAACTTGAAAGAAATAGACAACTTCAAGAAGATCTAGGCGGAGTTAAAAATGACCTAGAAAAAACTCTAAAGTGGACCTGGTCCTCTGATACAATCACCGCTATGTTTACAAGCAATAGTGGGAACATGTAGGGAGTCGGGTTTCAAAAGAAAATGACTCCCTACAATCCGTATAGCAAGTATGTTACTGTCCCTAATAACTGACTTTGCACTCACTGTGGCAACACTAGACACATTAAAGAAAACTATAAGGCTAGAATTCAGTCTCAACAGAAAAACCAAGTTTTTGTTGAAAAGGTAACTACTGCTAAGGAACCTGGATCATTTATTAAAAAACGTGTATTGCCTGTTTTGGACAAAAAGAAGTTTAATTCGCCCTTTTTCTCACTACAAGGGACTCAAACTTGTTTGGGTTCCTAAGTCTAATCCTTGATTTTCTTGTGCAGGGAGCAGAGAAAGGAAGCAGCCAGAAATTGTATATGGATAATGGTGGTTCTAAGCATATGACTGGAAGCATCGATGATTTTCTTTCACTTAAAGCTCTACAAGGAGGGAGTGTGTCCTTTGGCAATGCAAAAAGGGATACATTCTGGGAGTAGGAAAAATTGGGAAGACTCATTTGAGAATATGTATTATGTGAATGGCTTGAAATATAGCCTACTGAGTGTCTCTCAAATCTGTGACAAAGGAAACAAAGTGGAATTTGTGTCAAAAACCTGCACAGTCACAAATCTCGTGACTGGTGAAGTGGTCTAGTGGAAAAAAGATATAAAAATATTTATGTTGCTAATTTTGAATCCTTGAACAATAAGGATCTTACATACTTGAGTGTTGTTGATGAAAAT